CACCGCCTTTGAATTTGATGAATATCATTGAACTAAGAAGATACTCTCTGTAAAAACCCGTTGCAAGTTACATTTCTGCATTTCAAAGTATCTTTTTTCTTCAGATGATATCTCGAATCTTTCTCTATATAATGATATATTTCAATCAATTAACTACATATAACCTTGCCATGGATAACATCAATTTAGTGAAAGCAATCGAAACTTTTAAATCACTTTTTTAGAATCATCTACAATTCAAGATGATATCATCAATAAAAAAGGTAAACAATTAGCCGAACCTGAACTTCATATATCATAAAATTCAAATAGTAACTTTAGAAAAGTGAACTGAATCTTTTCTATTCACAAATGAAAGTTTACAGCGAAAATCGATTTCACCTGTACTGCCAAATATTATTGAAGATCTTTATGCACTTCTTATTGAATCGTAAATTCTTCTTCAACAAAAAAATAATCACTTTTTATTTTTCTTTTTTTAAATAGATTTTAACAAATGACATATATCGAGCAAATTTCATTAAAAAGGAATCTTCAACTTAGTAAATTAATTTTTTTTCCTTCAAAAACAAACCCTTATTTCAGAAAAAATTTTCATTTCTTACTCATCTATTTACTTCAAAATTACAAAATTTTTTTCAACAACAAATTAATCAAATAGAAAATGTTTTAAACGATCAAAAACATCATCAAGAACTAATTAAATCTGCACATAAATAAATAACTAATGAAATAAATATAGATTCAGAAAAACAAGAAATATTTCATAATTTAAATAATCAATTCTATAAATACAAAAATGATTTTAATCAAATTCAAAAACATGAATACTTTGCAATTCAACCTATATTTCGAACACATCTTGAATTAGCTATTCGAACACTTGATATAGATTTACAACTAATAGGGCAAATTTTTAATGGTAAAACATTAACAGATATTATTCCTAATAAACCATCAATTATAATAAAAACATCTTTGCAATCTATGACACCGATTGAATTACAAATTGATAAAGATATAACATTGATTCGTGATAATTTATCAACAATAGCTATGAATATGAAAAATTGTCAGACAATAATTCATGAAAAGAAAATATCACAAGATTTACTAAGAATAGATATGGTAAGTTATTAATATTAGATTGTTTATTACCTGATCGAATACTTATAGAATGATCGTCTTCAAATTATTAAAAATGAATATTTAGAACAGAAAATAAACGAAAAAAA